GTTGAATTGCATCCTATTCTGTTCTGCCTACTTCTCCAACCTGTCTAGATCCACCTGGATTCATTCCCTGCCTACTAGTGTGTTTACTTTACCCTGTAATTTGGTGTCATCCGTGAATTTGGACAGTGCTCTCCACACCCTCATCCAAGTCACTGATGAAGACATTGAACAGCAGTGCTCCAAGGACTGAACCTTGGGGAACTCCACTGCCTACATCTTTCCAGGTTGATGCCAACCCATCCACCACCACTCTGCGTGCATCCCGTTAGCCATTTTGCTACCCTCCTGACTCTGTAATTGTTTTTAGTAAGAAAATCCTATCTTAAACAGGAAAAGGGGCAAGTTTTAAATTGCAGTCTCTGAGAAAGAGATAGGTATTTTCTGTCTGTCAACTACATAGGAAGCTAAAGGTCACCTGTGGACGTACCATCCTTCTTATGACACCGAGGTCTCTTTCTGCTACAGTGCTGTGAAGAGGGTCATCCCCCAGCCTGTAAGTGTGCTGGTGATTCCTTCTCCCTAGATGCAGCACTATGCATTTGTGCTTGTTGAATTGCATCCTATTCTGTTCTGTAATGACTCTGTAATCATCTGTGTCATAGCCGCTCCATTTATTTATCAGAGTAGGATGAGATACTATATTGAAGACTTTCTTAAAATCCAGGTAAATGACCTCCACCTTGTCACCTGCATCTAAGCATTTTGTGACCTGGTCATAAGAAGAAACAAGGTTAGTTGGGCAGCATCTACCTGCTACGAACCAGTGCTGGTTGCCCTTCAGCATTATTTTTCCTGCTGGACTCCCACAAATGTGATCCTTGATAATTTTTTCAAAGGTTTTCCCAAGGATAGAGGTGAGGCTAACTGGCCTATAGTTACCTGGATCCTCCTTCCTCCCCTTGAAAACAGGGACCATGTTGGCCCTTTTCTAATCCTCTTTGGCTCTGTCCCACACCCTGCCCTGGTTGGGCAGCGCATGCCTCTCCCTCCCTCATGGTGGTGGCCTCAATCTGGCCCTTCCTCCCCCCACCCACTTCTTACCAGCTGGACACTGCTCTCCACCCTGCTGGGCTGCATATCAGCGATCTGATTGGTATTGGCCAATACGGCTGGTTAATAATCAACCATCAGTATTGGCCAAAAAAATCTTTATCGGTGCACTCCCAGTATTTAGCTGATTTTGCAGATTTGTTGGCATCTGACAGGGCTGTGCTACGAGCGCTTCTGTTGCAACCTTTAGTTTGTACCCTCTGGGCTATCAATTTGTGCACCATCCCAGCCTTCATAGGTCCACAGATGCAAAAAATATCCTTTATAAGAGCAGCACATCCAGTATGCTAAAGAATCAACTCCCAGTCCAGTTAGACAAAATGTTAAGACAAAAAATCATTAGCTAAACTTTTCTTGCTTTTACGCTTTGAATTCCGCCTTTTAACTTGGCCGAATATTTAACAAGTCAAAACATAGAATTAACTGTGTAGCAGATTTTTTTTTCTTTTGTATTTCAGCTACTTTACCACTACCTCTTTCTTCGATTTAATTGTAGAGGCTTGGCCCTTCTGACTCTTTCAGAAGTGGTAACAATACATCCATGCTGCCACAATGTCAACAGTGGTTGAAATTTATCCAGAGAGTCTTCAAACAAAATTAGCACATCCCTTTCTGAAATCTCTTGGGCTTTGTTTTTATTTTTTTTTATTTTTAGTGCATTAGACAAACACAATTAGCACCTTTGTGCCCTGCTGCTAACTAGAAATGCTTTGCTGGCAAATCACCACGTTTTACTTCAAATGTCTTAAAGAATAAAAATTACTTAAATAATAGGTGCTTGATATAGCTTCATTTATATTTTAAATGCGAAAACTGCACAGTGGTATGGCTTATGCAGTTAGTCAGGAAAAAAAGACAAGCATTCACATTCCAGTATCAGATCATTTAGTTTAATAACATCTTGTCTACATTATGAATGAGAAATAGACAGAAAAGAAGAATAGGAAATGTGCTATACATCCAAATTTACATTGCTGTTGAGGCCTTAATTTTCCCATTTTTGCATTTGACATTTTTACTGCACAACTTTCAGTATTACTTGCTTAATGATATTAACATTGTTTCCAAGTAGATTTTGAAACTTTCATCTTAATGACGTGTTTGGGTTGTTTGATCTAAGCCCATTTTTCTATGAACTTTGTTTTGAAAGCTTTGGTTTTTTTGAAAGTATTTTGCATTATGAAAAGAGACCTTAGAATTTATACCACGTAATGGGAAGTAGGAATCGTGCGTGTATGTATGTATACGCACACACATACGCATGAAGGTTTTTAAGCCCTCCTGTTTTCTACCCTCCTTGATGTTAAAGTTAAGGTAGTTCACTATCATTTTTATTCAGAATTTCCTTTGTTACATTTCAGTAAGATGCATCCAGTTTCTCATATGTAAATTATTCCTGGCACAGTCACAACACAAGTCTCCTTGTTGAAAGAGAGCAGAAATCATTTCTAATAATGTCAGTAAGGTCCTTCATTCTCCAAGGGGGTCAGATTTTTCTATGTTCATAAAGTCAGCATGGACAGCACCTAATTATGTGTACTTTAGGTTTTCCTCCAGAATTATACCAAGGTAAGAATGAGAGAAGATGGTTTCTACTCTTTAAGATGCAGTCACCACTGGATACACTTGACAATACCTTGTTTTACATATTGATTAATGAAAACGCATCTATTTATGTAGTGGTTTTAACATGTACTCTATCAAAAATGTAACTAATTATTAGTTGATTTTGAATGATATTAGGTATATTCAACTCTTTATCAGTATTCTAATGATTTACAAGTTTTTTCCCTCATACCTTTTTGGAGTTTAAAAAAAATGCACTTCACTTGGCAATATAAAACTCAATAGAAATATTTTATCATTTTAATGATTGTGTGGATTTCAGATTATAGAGTCTAGTATTTTAAATGATCGTTGGATTTTGATTTTGGCTTATTTTGTTGTGTGTAATAAGGCTGGCTGGTACTGGGTTATCTCCTCCTAGAATAAATGTTTCGGCCAATATTTAGGAACTTAAAGTTGCATATGTTGGGAGAATGCCAGTTCCTAGGAATCGGATACCATGAATCAGTTGTAGAAGAAACTTGATTTCCATATGATGTAACTTTAATAGACAACTTAATATGTTCTGTTGAAACTTTTCCTCTTTCAGGTTCTCTGGCTACTGAGTTTTGATGATGATAAGAACACATTAGCAGATGCAGTCGACAAATATTGTATTGGTGTCCCACCTATCCAGTGGCTGGCTTGGATTCCACAGCTCTTAACATGCTTAGTTGGCTCAGAGGGCAAGCTCCTTCTAAATCTCATTAGTCAGGTAGGATACATGCATGTGACTGAAGATAGCTTCTGATACCTTTAGTGTTCATACTTTTTTTTCCTGTTGGCCAGCTACAAATATTTTTTAAAAGAAAAATGAAGGAAGCTCTAAAATTCAGAGTTTGTGCATTAGAGAGTTGTTCTCTAATATGTTTCCATACTAGAGGGGTTGGAATAGTTGAAGAAGTGAGGATGAAATTTGAGGAATTAAATGGAGGTTTTCTTGAGAGAAAAAAGATGTGAGAGAGCAAAAGTATTAACAAAATGGCAGTTACAAAGAAAAATGGAAATTTAGTACTCTCCAGAAGTCTTGAGGAGACTTTTTTTTTTTCTTCTCATCAGCTGATTTCATTCCAATCTGATGTTGCCTTGCTTTATACGCATGGACTCAACTGTCTACTGAGGACTGGGAATGAAACCTATTTGTACAGTTCTTCTGGATACAATTTCCCAAAGTTTGTAGGGGGTACTCCAGTTCCATTTGAGAGTTGATGGGGTCTCTGTACAGATCAGTGGATGCATTTCATGAGCCTTTCTTTGGAGATGGTAGGAGGAAGGGTGTCAAAAAGTACCAGATTTTGTGAATTATTTTTAGCTGTAAAAAACGTAATGGTTAAATTCTTTAGAAATGAGCTGATGGCATTTTAAATGCCTCTTGAATCACTTATTTATGGGTTGGCATCATAGCACGTGTATACCTTATGTCTTGACTTCTGCCCAGTTACACACTATAACCGTTAGGGGCATGGTAAGATTGCTTCCTTTTATCTTTCCCATTTGGATGTATGTAGTATAATAAATAAGTAATAGCTAGAGAAAGTTCTTCATATCCTATGCTTTCCTCTGTCAAATAGACTACTTAGCTACATTGTTTCTCTCATTTAATGGATGTTGAAATTTGTAGTTTAAAGACAAAAGCTGCATGTAAATGTCTACTCAAGCTTTTTCATAGGAGCCATAAAATCTGTTTGTTGTTAGTGGTATCTCTTGTTACCTAAAATGTTGTTTTTTTTCCATTCAGTGTTGCAATTATGTAGGTTAAGGTGGTTCTTTTATAGGTCCAGCTACTAACAGCATTGGTTCACTGACAGCCATGGTCTAATTTGAAGGCTAACTGGTGTCATTATATCTGTTTTTCTTCCATTTTATGCACCAGTACAATCTTTGAGCTGGTCCAGATTATCTAGCTGTGTTTTCAGATGTAGTAGGCAGTGTGATAGTGAGGGTCCTATTAGCTATTCCTTACTACAGTGAGCAGTCTTGCCATTCTATTCTCCTTGCATGTGTTATTTCTGAAATAAACTTTAATTTTCAAAAATGGTTAGTAAAGCAAGGAATTGCTTTATACGTGTTTAGTACAACTATTGCTTATCTATAAACTTGATCTGTGGTTGGGCATGATTTCATCTGTAAACGAATGACATAGTGAATAAATGTTATTTCCTGCATATTTATTTTTAAATAGGTGGGAAGAGTCTATCCCCAGGCTGTCTACTTCCCAATCAGGACTCTGTATCTGACATTGAAGATAGAACAACGGGAGCGCTACAAAAGTGGTGAGTGCAACTGGCTGGCAGTTGGCAAGTGTAGCAAATTTGTCTCTGTTGTGAGACACCTTGACTACTTAAGAAAATGAGTTTTTACTTATTCATGCTTTGAGCTGAGATAATGTTCACAGTTATGTTTTGGGATCAAAGAGTCAGTTTGTTTATTTATTTTGGGGTGGGAAGGGGGTGCATCTCAAAATTATGTACAGGCACCTTTCATTGGGTAGGTGGAATATATTCACTAATGCATCCTCATCATGTTGATATGAAAACTGCACACGCTCAGTAATGGATTTTTGTATTTGTTAAATATACAATTATCCCCAATACATGAATAGGGTAAGATTAAGTTACTTGCCAGGGGCATGCAAAGGTCTGTCACTAGCAGTTGAATTCAAGTCTCTGGTCCCAGCAAGCAATTTTAACAGAAAATCCATCCTTTCTCCTGTCTGTTCAGTGTTGATTGTAAGTCCAGGTCACGTGGCGCTCCATTCCCTGATGGGTGAAGACAACTTTTAAGATTTATTTTTAGTGTGTATGTTCATGTTTGAGATAATTGTCTTTTTGTGAACAGCCCATACATTTTAACTTTAACTTCTTCTGTAAATGCTCTCTAAAAGTCACTCGTGCTCCCTTTGCTGAGTGTTCATTTAAGTACAAACAAAAGAAGGGTTTTCAGGTTTGGGCATACGTTTTTTGGAAAAAAATGAGGAATTTGCTCTGTAGTTTTGAGGAACAACTCCTATGTAAAATCACTACATTAAACAGTGTCTTGGTACTTGTTATTTGTTTGTTCCATGTCATCTTTCAAGACTTCTAGGCAAGCTACTAGAGCTCTTCTTTTCTAGGTTTATTGTTACAAAGTGTGTTATCTAGCTAATTGCCCATTACACTCAAAGCAGTAGATTTATTTTCTGCGTAAATTTTAAAAGGGCACTATTTTAGGAGTAAATTTCCTCTGTGTTGCTCTGAAGGAGGAGAGATGTTCACACAGAGCAAAATTGAAATGTTTTGGATGCATCTACACAAGGCAGGGCAAGATACCCAAACCAACTGTGTGCACGCTGCTTCTAGAACCAGAAGTCAGGTAACCACATTGTGTGGTGCTGGGCCCAGCTAATAAATGTATCCTCATAGGAAATATTTCTGCACACATCACACAGATGTGCACAGAGTAATCGGATCCCTAATTTCCTTCAGTTGTATGGTACAGTTGGTAGCTTCATTGCATATATTTTTCAGCAGTGGATGTTACGAGCAAACAATTCTGGTTTAATATGGGCATCTTTGCATGGATATTAATGTTAGCTGATGAAACCTTGTTTCTCTTGACCATCCCTCACTCTCTTTTTTACTCCATTAGCATTGTCTCGTTGGCACAATCGGTGCCTTTGAATTGCATACTATTTGATGTGTCGTCTTCTCTGTTCAATCCAAAATCTAGTGTTTAATCATAAAATCACTAAGTTGACATAAAAAATCAGTTTTACTAAGAGACATGCCTGAGGATAAAATCATGGAGTTGACATTAAAGTACCTATGATTCCAGCTGCATTAAAGCTCATGAAAGGAAGTGAATGTAATAACTTTTATAATTTAACCCAGTATACTTTGAAAAGTGACAAAGAATTTAAGAATGAAAATAAAAGTTAAAGCTAGGAGTCTTACCTCCCTTTTAAAAATTATTTTTCTCTTAACCTTATTAAGCACAAATAATTAAACTCTGTTATGGTAGTATAGGAGTGGTGATGTAGCCATGATGGTCCAGAAATTATGGAAAAGGCAAGGATTTCTTAAGTTAATTCCTTTTATTAGACCAGCTATAGAGCTGGGATAAAGTTAGACAAACTTTTGAATGCCAGTTGTTCTTCAGGTATTTGGGCACTCCTGAAGAACATCTGGCATTCAAAAGCTTGCCTAGCTCCACCCCAGCTCAACAGTTGTTCCAATAAAATGTATCATCCTAAGAAATCCTTGTCTTTCAAATAATTAAAAAGTGTTTACAACAAACCTGTTTGCTATCTATTGAATTGTAGGAAGCTGATTACCACTCAACGCCACATTAAAGCGCACGCGCAGATGCACCCCCTATGCAGTAATCTGAGAGAGATCTGTGAAAGTAACTATCTTTCTTGGATATTATTGCAGATTCTGGACAGCAGCAGCCAAGCTCAGTGGGAAATCAGTCACATTCTGCGTCAGATCCTGGACCGATAAGAGCTACTGCCCCGATGTGGCGCTGCAGCCGAATCATGCATATGCAGCGAGAACTCCATCCGACACTCTTGTCCTCCCTGGAGGGCATTGTAGATCAAATGGTCTGGTTCAGAGAGAATTGGCACGAAGAGGTATTTGGATTTGTTACAGCCGTTAACAGGTCTAGTTCACATGGGTATGAGATGCACAGTTAAATGAGCCTTGGGTAATATTTCTCTTGATTATTATTGAACATGAAAAATAGAATGCACTGGTTTATTCTGAAAATCAGCAGTTCTGATGGTAGGTTTAAGCAAGTTTAATTATGTTTATATTTTAAAAGCGATACAGATGTTGAAAGAAAGAAAATCTCTCCTGAATAATTATTGGTGATAATTATGCAGTATGATAAATATTTCTTCTAATTTTAGGATTCCAGCTGCATCCTGTTTTGTAACTGAATATTTTAATTCATGCACTTTCTTTTTACTTTCCTTTGGAGTGATGGCCTGTGAAAGAGAGGCAAGAATTACTATATGAAACTTGACTTAAACTTATAAAGCAAGTGCAAGATGTACATTTCAGTGGAATCTTCCTAGTCCAGGTTTTCAAATTATTTACTTCAGTGGTTGGTGTTTTTCCCTTCTCCACTGCTCTGTAAAGACTGAAGACTTTAAGATGCCCTCTAATTACTAATACTTCATTATATGGAATATACTACATTATGATTCCTAGCATACTTTAAGATACTTTAAAATCTAAAACTAAATTACAGTTTTCAAAAGAACAAAGTACATTTTCTGAGGCAGTATTTTTGCTATGTTTAATTTTGTAATTATAACACTCAGTTGTAGTTGTAAAGCTCAGTCCATACATTTGTGATTGTAATGCTTAGTCCTGGGTTTGGATACATGGGACACTGACTCTGGTCATTTTTTGCTGAAAAGCTCTCCTTTCAGTCATTCAGATTAACAAAGTTCTGCTGTATTTTGATTTACGGTTTGGCTCTTGCTTCCAGTGTTTTATCAGTTTAATCATTTAGATTTGTATAGCAGTTTTGAAAGGGTCATTTTACAAATCAATGTATTCTGGTTTCGATGGCACTGAATTTCAGTACAATTCTAATGTATATATGGTGTCAGATTGAAAGCCCCAATGACATTGTAAGCCTTCTTTTTTTCTCTCTTTAGGTCCTTAGACAGCTGCAGCAAGGCCTGGCAAAATGCTATTCAGTTGCCTTTGAGAAGAGCGGAGCAGTTTCAGACGCAAAAATCACTCCCCACACACTAAATTTTGTCAAGAAGTTGGTCAGTACTTTTGGAGTTGGTCTGGAGAATGTGTCTAATGTCTCCACCATGTTTTCCAGTGCAGCTTCAGAGTCGTTAGCTAGAAGAGCACAGGCTACAGCCCAAGATCCTGTATTTCAGAAACTAAAGGGGCAGTTTACGACAGGTAAATTCCTGAAACAGGTTTTCAGCTATTTCTAATCTGCAGTGAAAACATTGTTTTTTCTATGGTTCAAGTCTGAAAATGTGTAATTCTTCATCCTGTGTCATTTGGGAGACAGAACAGTGAGTATGGAACAGCCAGCATTTTGATTTAGCAAAATAATGGAACATTTGAGTGTCTGCCATTCCTGTCTTATGTGGAATAGTGGAAAAAAAAATCATGCCAGAAAAGTAGATCGCAATATGGTAAAGGAAGTTAAGCTTTTTAGATTCTTGCTATAATTATAGTTACATTATACCTATGAGTACATTACAGTAGTTTAGAGGACTAGCACTTTTTAAAGTGTTTTCTTGATGAATTGCGTCAAAATTCCTGGCAAATGAAAGCCATTAATAGCTAGGCAGTTTTTCTTCATAGTAAAAGCACACAGTTGTAGTCACATAAAATTTAATGGCATTTTTCATCCTAAAAAGTCCAGACTTAAATTTTTTTGAAAAGTCTTGCAAAACTATCTATATCTGAGTGACGCTGGTTTTGCATTTTGGATAGCTAGATTATCACATTCTCATTATACGCTTTCACTAAGTTATTATATAAATTGGATCAATAACTGTAGTCAGGTCTAATAAAAAGGACTATTTGGGGTAGTAGCTTATTTGCTGTGTTCAGTTCCTGTTTGCCAACAGAATTATAATATAGTGATTAGTCAATGTATATCTGATGTTGAATTAACATTGTAAGAACAGACTACAGGACAATACTTGGGGGTTGCAACGCTTGCTGAAGAGTGTCTATTTTACACCTGTTTATATGTGAGAAACAACAGAAGTTGGTTGTTTATTGGATTTTTATAACTTGCCTGGGTCACTGGATGGTAGTGGCACAGAGACCTATCTATACTTTTTGACTCACTGTTGAAGAATTTTTATCATTTAAATAAAGTTAAATGGAACATAACCTTTCCAAAACAGGAATATACCAAACTTCAGTGTTAACCATAAATGAAAAGAATCAAGATTTGTTTGGTAGTCTTTTATTGGACTAGCTTTGCAGTTGGGACAGATGTCAGCCAAGCTTTCTGGGTCCAAACCACCCCTCTTCACATCAGAGAAAGAAGCAGATACAGTCTAAGCTAAATACTGATTGGAACAGTGTAAATGAAGGTGATTCTTTTCAAGAGAGAAGTGGCCAGTTAACCTGTAGAGCAAATAGATTTCCTTTGGAGGCATGAATGAAGCGCTGTCAGCTGTCTGTCATGTTCTTTGCCTGACTGGCTACCTAGTGTTTCTGTAACTTCAGGTTAGATGGCTGGTAAAACCCACAACGTGAAGGAGCATTAGACTGCTTTTTCATCTGGTTCCTATCCTTTTATCTGCCTAGCTTGGATAGTCCTAGTAGGAATTAAAATGACTGTAAGCGTCATTGGAACTGGCTGTATCAAGGTGCAGTCCCCGAGGATGGGAAGTCCTGCTTTTGGAATTTAAAGTTAGTGTTCGTAAGAGTGTGTAGGCTTTTGAGGTCAGCTCTGCTACTCAGTGTTTGCTGAATTCAGCAAGAAGTTACACAGTGCCTTTTCAAGCATTTCACTTACCGTGATGTGAAAATAAGTGATCTGATGGGAATCTTGTGAAAGTAGCTCTGTCACGGATATGACCTACATATCTTGTGCACATTATGTATTGCATGATGTACTCCTTGTGGCACAACAGTTGCATGACAGTAGATAATGGAAGTCCTGAACCATATGATTAAATTTAATGGATGAAGGCTGCTAGGGAAGGAAACAGTAGTTGAAACATTTCACATGCCTCTGATTATCTAAAAATTACAGGGAATCAAAAGATGGTTAATGTAGATATTGCTTTCCTATTTAAAAAAACCCATTGTTTGCATATTGCAACAGTGATTTGGAAACTTATTTATGATGGAATACAATATAATGTTTTTATAGTGTTATGTTTATATTTTTAATTAGTAACATTTCCTTTGGTCACCTTTTTCTCCCAGATAGAAGTACAGGGTGGTGGAGGGGGTGTTGTAATAATGCTTGGCTAAAACTTCCTATGACAAATGCACTAGGGACTGCTAGACTGATAGGTTGTCTAAAATGTATGTGCATATACTCGCATACTTACAGAAAACAGATTGTAAAATGTTTAAATTAATTATTTTGTAGTATCTGTCTTTGTGGGGAAGAATAAATTAGACTGATAGTATTTTTGTTCCTTTGTGCTCCAGCTGTTTCCTTTGTTAGTTTTGAGGACTTAAAAATGGCACTTAAAGATTTTGGTTTTGTGTCCAGCTACAGCTTTTACATTTAAACAAATGTAAGGGAAGGTGATTTTCCTGGGCCTAATTAATTAAATGAAGAACATCTAAAGTAATCAGGATATGAATTTTTCTATTAAATTTCAGTTTAAGGATAAGTAATTATTGCCTGATTTTTTATTTTTATTTTTTCTTGCAGACTTCAAAATTTATTTCAATTAAGATTAAGCACGAATAGTTACAAGATTAAAATAACTATTTTAGTGAATGCTAGATTAGATTATGTTTTAATCTATTAAATTTGGGGTTTAATTTAAAGTTGAAGTGTGGAAAAAATAGAGGGAATTTAATTGGTCAATTTACTTACTTTTGTGGAATTTTATATTAATTCACTATGCAGAAAGTGAAATTAAGTTTTTGATTAATTTGAAATAATTGTAGGAACTCCATTACCAAAATTAAAAAAAAAAAACCTTAGGAGCAGAGCAGAGACTCTAATAAGTTTGTAAAGCAATTATTAAACACTTATTTGTGTATGCTTTGAGGCCTGTTCCTGTCTGAATTGATGGGAAATGTCATTGTGTCAGCCTGTACTTGGAACATATATTTGTATTTATAATTCTTAGCATCTATTGTATTTAGAATCACAGAGAAGTAGTGCTGGAAGGGACCTCCAGAGGTCATCTAGTTCAACCCCCTGCTCGAGGCAGGAAAGATACTGGGGGCCGTATAGGGCTCAAATCTGCAACCTTGGCATTAATATCACCATGCTTTAAGCAACCAAGCTAGACGGACCCTAATTTACTTGGTGTGCACATATTTACATCTGTTGTTTTCCATGTCTTCTGTAACACCTATTTATTAGGCCTGTGTGAAGCGGCTGGTATTCAGTTCGGATTCGGCTGATTTGGGGGACAGTGATTTGATTTGGTGATTTGAATCGCTGTCCTAAATTGATTCAGCCGAATGTGATTTGGAGATTTGGCCGCTGCTGAATTGGACAGACACCATCCCCCACCCGGCCCCAGCTC